AAACTGGTCTCATCTCATGCAGGGAAGCTGAGTACTGCCTCCAATACATTTAGGAGATTTAATTCTGATTCACATTTTGTTATAGATGACACAACCGCTGTCCCATGGGCACTTAGTTTGAAAAAAGGAAATGCTCTTGACCATAAAAACAATAGGATCTCTATCAAAGAGGCTGGTTACTTTCTTGTCTACAGTCAAGTAAGTAGGCTTTTGAAATGTCAAGATGTACGGTATATTGCAGTGATTTGTGGCCCACATGATTAACTGAGTTTTGTCTGTGTTCTTGAAAAATATAGGTTTGGTATAAGGATAGCACGTTTACAATGGGACATTTTATCGAGAGAAAAAAGGCCAACATAGTTGGGAATGAGCCACGCACTGTAATTTTATTCCGGTGCATCCAAAACATGTCTGCATGCTGTCCAAATAATTCTTGCTTCACTGCTGGTAATCACTTATTTGTTTTATTCTTTATAGAATTTATTTGAAAAAAATGTTCTAGTCTCTAAAAGATTCTTTTTCAAATCAGGCATTGCAAAACTTGAAGTGGGAGATGAACTTGATCTTGTAATACCACGAATCCAAGCACAAATTGCATTAAATGGAGACGGAACATTCTTCGGAGCGATAAAACTGGTTTAAGCTGTTGGCTGAAATCTGAAAGAGATATAATTCTTGCTATTTAAAGAAGAGGAAGAAGAAAAAGTCCAGTCAGTATTAACTTCCTTCTTGATATTCTGTGGTTGACAAATGTTTTTACAAAATAAGTTGCTGTTTTCAAACAAATGTACAGATTTCTCTGGGCAGTCATGAAATTCGTAAGAGCTGCAAACAGAATAAAACTGTGGTTTGATAATCTTACTTAAGCACATTTGTCTACTGTCCCTTTAATTGTTTGCTTGTGTGTCAGCCTGGCTCATTTGATAGCAAGCCTCTGAGTGAAAAAGTTATGGTTTCAAACCTCACATCAGGACATTGAACTGATGGTCTGGAACAACGACAACAACTTGCATGTATATACCACCCTTTGTGCAATGTAGCATCTTGGCGTGCTTAGATCTAGGCTGTACTTGTTGGATGTATCATACTTCAGATAAGATACTAAAGAGAAGGGCATTTTCTCCCTGTGTCCTAGCCAAAAATCACCCAAATAAAATTAATTCACTTCGCTGTTTGTAGGACATTGTTGCGCATAAATTGACTGCTGTGTTTGCCTGCAAAATGTTACTATACTTTGCAGTATATTCTTGTCAAGTGCTTTGAGATGTCCTTCTGACATAAAGGCGCCAAATCAATCAATTAATTATTGAACAGTGTGTTGCCCCAATGCTCCTGCCTGCTTCACCACAGCACACATAAGTGATAAATTTTAGAAAACAGCTAATACGAACAGGCATGTTATGTATTTATTTGTGCAAACCTTAATGCGCAGCAGAAATGGTTGATCATGTGATTGCTTAGAATTGTATTTAATTAAATTACGGTCTAAAAATAAAATGAACCACATTCTTTACAAAGCAACCAACAGGACGGAAACATTAAACACAGCTGTTTGAAAGTACAGTTACAATGGTTGGTGGTTTTGAGTATTGAAGGATTACAGGGTTACAGACAAGGATAGATACAAGTTCACTCTCAGTTTAAGCCATACCAGGTTGGGAGGTGTTGAATGTAGACTGGAGCATCTCCTTGCACAGAGAGGAAAATTAGATTCATATCTGAGAGATAGATGTCTGGTGAGAAGGTGGCCAGTAGCCTGAGAGTTCAGGAGCAAAGGGCTGGCAAATCTGAAGCCAAGGAATAAGTTCAATAACAACAATAAATAAAGAGAATGTTAAAAATATGTTATTCAGATGTTTGACATGTATGTTTAATGGAAGATAATTTGTATAGAACTGAAAATCTGGATTGTGCAATATTTTTCCTCCTACGTTTTATATTCAACAATAAATATGTACTTAATTTCACTGACCATCAAGTACGGCTTAGATTTTTACCAAGTTTCAAATGCTGCCTACAAGATTTTGTAATAATTTTTTTTACACAGCAGATGGTGAGAATGTGGAACTCACTGCTAAAAGCTGTGATTGAATCAGAGCTTATTTAGTGAAAGCAATTCTAAAATTATCTTGTCAAGAGTATCTCCTCAATAGGTGTCAGCTTGGCTCAGTTGGTAGCACTCTTGGGTCAGAAGGTTGTGGGTTCAAGCACTATGTCATGACTTGAGTCATAGTCTCGGTTGACACTCTAGGGCAGTGCTGGAGAGGGCTGCATTTTATAAGTATTATCCTTTGGAGAAAATGTTGAACTGACATCCAGTCTGCCTTTTCAGATGGATATTGAACCTCCCATATCACTTTTCAAAAAGACAAGGGAACGTACAGCTGGCAAATAATCCTCCAGGTTAATTGGTCATTCGCCACAATTACTTACAAAAGCAATCACAACACTTGAGAATAATTACCGAAAACCACAGACATTTTGATGTTATAGGTCCTATAAAAATGCAAGTTCTTACTGTCCCTGAATTAATGTATATAAATCATCAGAACTTGTAATAATTTTGTATATCAGTAGATGGCAGTTATACTCTACCAATGTGAAAATGCTTAATAATTCAATAAAGAAAAACATGCCATATGATAAAAGTATGATAACTCTATCACATCAAAATATATCAAGTAATTATTGTTAAGTGCACTGACAAGATAGTATGGAGATCCTGTTGCAGACCAGTCAATCTTCAATCCTTTAAAACAATGGTGGCCAAACTTTATGGTTGTCCAACAAAATAATTTTTTGGATTGAATATTTCTTGATTTATGCCGTATAATCAAGAAAAAACACCAATGGTGAAACACGGACTTATCTCGACATGCGAATGTTCTAAAAGCGAGTTCTCAGTGAACGGACCAGAAATGCTGCAGGCCACATGTTGGCCACAACTGCTCTAAAATGTTGTTCTATTTAGTAGCAGGACATCGTTATTGTTATTTACATTAGAGGTAAGTAGGAACCCACTTGATAGTCGATTGGCAGATCATTTTCCAGGGGTAATAATTCCCTCAAAAAAAATGTAGTCACTCAATCCACAACTGTTTGTAGAACATTGCTGTGCGGAATTGGTTTCATCTGTGTTATGTTTAATCCACAAAATATACAGACTTTATAGTATGATATGTCTCAAAGACGTGATAAGGCGCTATATCAAATGCAAGAATTATTATTATTTCACCTGCAACTTTCCATCATCCTCTCCTTGTTTTCCCCTCCTGTCTGTCTCCCTGCAACTTGCAAGGTTAATTTCAAGTTTCTTACCTTTATTTTCGAATCCCTCAATGGTCTTGTTTCAATAACATCTGTTGAATTGTATTTAGCCCATGCTCTCCAGTCTTCCAGCTCTCATTCATTCCTTGCCCTCTACTATTAGAGGTGAAACCTACAGACTTCATACCCTATACCATTTTGTCTGTCTGAAAATGTGGATTTTCAAGCTTCTGAAGTGATAGTTTGCATTTGTCATCAGGTTTCTGCCATGGCCTTTCACTTAAGAAATGGTGCATGTCATTCCTGCGCTTAGTAGAGGGAGATAATACAGAGGATACATGTTATTTTGTTCATTTCTAAAGAAGACGAGTCATTTTATGAACTGTACCTTTCTTTATATGCAATAGTTTGCTTTGAATGTTTGTGCCACCATCTGATTTGTCCAAGGTGCAGATCTGAAGCACTCCACTTAGCTTCAATCGGGACAGTAAAACAACTGAGCTCAGACCACTTTGAGAGGTACAATATTAAAATATTTTTTCACTAAACAGTTTCGGGAGTATTCTGCTTGGATCTACCCATTTCAGAATAGTTTTAATGGTACAATTTTGTAATTGATTCAGAATGACCCGTCAGACATCAAGCCATTAATTGCTCTGGCTCTGACTACATAAACCTCATTGGTTTCTCCCTCCAGCTAACTAAGTTAGTGTACAAGCTTGGCATTCTGCTGGACTCTTACCTTTGCTTCAAACTCTATATCTGCTTCTTGACTCTGACCACTTTTCCTCCATAATCAAAACATCACCCACCTATTCTCCTAAATCTTTTCCAAGCATGGTTACTTCCAATTAAGTTTAGATCTCTTCTGTATTCTTTTTGCTGGTCTCCCTGTCTCTGTAAACTGTGTTTGGATATTCTTAAGGATGGTGATGGGTTTTCACATGTGTCAAATACCTGGCTGACCAAAATAAATAAATAACAAACAGCATTCATATAGATCTCTGCAACCCACATATATTCCCACACTAGAGTTTGCGAATTCATCACCCCCATCCTAGCCACTGTTTTTTGCCCTCCTGTAGATGGACTTCCAGACACTTATCCAAAAGAGGTAAATTAAGTCGGAGAAGATATGAAATAATAGGTTGCATTTTGCAAATGGGCAAAAATGTAGGGAGAGAGAGTTTCGTGAGAAACAGTTAAACTATTGGTGTTACTGATTGAGAGTGTACTGAGCGAGAGGGAACGACAGAGTGTGGAACAGAAAAGCAACTTGGTACAATGAAGAGAAGATCCTAAACAAGAGGTAAGAAATAGAAACATTTGGAAAGGTGCCACTAATTTAATTTTTCTTTGCACTACCATATCACTTGTTCATAATTGCTCAATTCTCCTCTAGGTTTCATAGGTTTAGTTATTCTTTCCCTTCACCAGGTGGCATTATATCTAGTTGGTGCAATTGCTATTTGTTGTGATGAGATACAGTACTTGGATGTATATGCTCATTTTCAACACGTGGGGGCATGAACACACGTGAGTGTAATTGTCCATTTTGCCACTAGATGGCACTAAGTTAATTGACTCATTGATTCCTTCTCCCATTTGGTTGTGTTGTTTCTCAGGTGTTGTTACATTTTTCCTTAATAGATCTCGCAAGATCACAAGAGAGGTTCAGATGAAGAAGACTCTTCGGCCTATTAGAGTAAGTTCTTTTAAGGGTTAATTTGAGCTAATCTGGGGGGAGTGATTCCAAGTCATATAAGGGAAAAGTTGACAGCTCAATTATTTTTCAGTTGAAAGGGAGTAAATTCAATGAGCCCTAAATAAGATTGGTAAGAGAAAGCTTTTTCCTAAGATGCAAAGTTGGGCAGTTATTCTGATTCTTTCAGAATAGTGGTTCTGAAAATGTATTGACCTTTGATAAAAGCCTCACAATTCTACTTCAAAAGACTTCACAATATGACAGATACTAAGTGGCAGACTGATGATGAACTACTAAGAGCATCTTTCCACTGTGACCTCCCACACTTCTTGAAGATTTTTTGAAGGTTTTTTTTCCCCTCGAAGATTTCTATAAACCTTCTGATTCATTCATTGATGCATGGGATCATTGAAACATCTCTGCATTTATTCTACTTTGTAAGCTCCAGGGCAATTCTTGTCCAGTGATTTTTTTTATATATAACACACATATATACACACACACATATATACACACACACACACACACAAAAACTTAATTGGTACGCTGTGCCTCTAACAGCAACAAAATATTTTTGGGAGTAGCTCACCTGCCTTAATTGATTATCTCACTGACTTGAATGTTTCACGTTTATTTGAACAAGTGGATTGGATGTCTCATCCGAACAAGAGCATCTCCAACAATGCAGTATTCCCCCAAGCATTGTATTGGAATGTCAGCCTAAACCATCAGCTCCAAGTTCCAGAGGCGACAGTATTACCAACTGAGAAAACCTAACAGTGGCACTCCAAAATTTGGGAAAAAGTACTTAGAAATATAATATATAGACATTTTTTTATGTCGAACTGATATCTTGTTGAATAGATAGGCTTACACTCCAGTGCAGTGCAGTGTGTT